AAGTTAACATTACGATCTATCCGAGAATAAAATTTTAAATTAATATATCCCTGGGTAGCTTTACTAGTACCTCCGATACCTTTAACTACAGGACATGAAAGTGACCTATTTATTACTAAGCCTAAGCGCTGACAACATTGTCGTGTTATAAAGCTATTTTGGGCTCCGCTGTCCAGCAGTGCACGGACGCTTTGTTCGTTCCCACGCGAAACCCTAACCAAAATACGCGCCGTACCCAGTAACACGGTTGAAGGAGGTTGTGCTCCCATATTTGTCAATGAGCACAGAGCGACATCACCAGGTCGACCGCTAGAATGGTTGACCTTAGTAGGGGTGAATTCCTTGTCCGCTTTACTTGACGCCGCTATGTTGCTATTTTCAAAATGTAATAGCGTGTGATGTTTCCTGGCGCACTTGCTACATACGGAACTCGAATTGCATTTTGGAACTAAATGCTTATCACTTAAGCAGTTCAGACATAGGTTGTTTGTCTTTACTAATTTATAACGTTCGCTTGGTGAATATTTACGAAAAGTCGCACAATTATATAAATTACCGTGTTTATCTTTACATACGATACAAGTATGCTGAAGTGATGTTGACGTAGCGGTTACGTACGTTAACGACCCTGCTATTTTAGATGGTTGAGTCTGTCTACGGTCGACGCACCTTTTAATCTCTTGTTTAACGTTCGGAGAGCGCTGCATCACCTTTATTTGATCTCGCACGAACGATGCTAATGAATGAAAGGAAGGCATCTCCGAGCTACGATGCTCCATTTCAAACGCACGCACGGTGTCGGGGTCTAATTTCTGTCAGTAAATTTTAAATTCTTAAGTGCAGCCACCGATGCCACAAATTTATCTAGAAACTGCTCTAAGCCGTTGATGTTCGCGGATGATATAGGTTTAAGATCGAAAATCTGGTTCAAATATTCGGAAGCTAACATTCTCCTATCTTCATATTTAGTTTTAAGCGTTTCGAATATTAATAAGTAATTGTTTGCTGTAGGTGTAAACCCAGAGCAGATCGACTGTGCCCTGCCACTAAGTTTACTAATTAAGTAATATAATTTTTCAGCGTCCGATAACGATGGGTTATTGTGTATATTGTTTTGAAAACTACTGAAGAAAAAGGGCCACGTCTTAATATACCATTGAATACCGGAATATCTATTGGCGGCAACTTAATTGAGTCACGAGGACGTACCTGCAATTCCGGCTTTGCTTCGTTTTGAGATTGTAGGAGTTTTGCCGTTCTTTTCACTCGACACAACATATCTTCGAATGCCAGCAGCGGTTGGTAGTTCACTATGTATTTCGGGTCGATTTGTAATTCCAAATGATTAATTTGGTCTAATATTCTTTCGTAATCCGTCCGCAAAGAATCCACCGTTTCAATTTCATTCAGAAAAGTTTCCCGCACCGCTTCTACATTAATGTTCTTTATATGATCGCTAATGTTTTGTATACGTGAAAAAAGTACGTCCCTCTTGGCATAAAGCGTTTTAATTTTAAATTCACTTCCACTAACTGCCATTTTAAATTATTATAACAAAGTTATTAATCACAATTAATCTCACACGCATAAACGATGGACGATGGACGCTCGGTATGCCGTATTACGTAATTAAATCGAACACCTGCTACAGTCGAGGCGACACGTTGCTTGCTAACTCAATGTTTTTATAAAGATTGTCGGGTAATCGTACCAAACGGTTGCTATCACACTGTTTCAATTTTAAACCTTAAATTTAACCAAATACGAGCGCTATGAAATAAACAATTCTGTTTGCGAGTACCTAATCAAAATTTAAACGAACACTATTTACACTATTTACGAACACTAATTATTCGACCAGAAAATGGTTGGATAACCACTAAACCCCAATCCAAATCCTGCCCGAAGTGACCATAAAATGATGGAGCCACGTGTTTAAGGCTGCCGAAGTCTAGTTCCCCGGTCGAACCTTAAACCTATTGCGCGAATTATTAATCTAAGTGGACTGTATCTACTAATGCTTCTACACTTGTATATGCGGTACAATGCACTCGCTCTTCCCAAAAAAACGAACTATTATGCCAAATCGATGAAAGGAATCCTGCTTGATTAGGAAAACACAAAATTGGAGCGGGTTAAAACTACTATATCAAGCAGGAAAATACTATTAGGAAAATGTTGACTCACCGGGATGTTTCTTCTGTGCGGTCGAGCACTATAACTGCGACTTCTGGAACACTCCGGAGAGAGGCGGTGCGCGACTATATCTCACACGAGGTGAGGCGGGTTCCCTGGAGCTCGATTGCTTCCAGGCTAAAGCGGTTTCTACTATCGGTGTGGTTTCAACGACGAGCGCGGCGGGAAGAGGCCACGCGTCGGTCGCGCGTGTCTTTTATATCCTCGATTCCGATGATTACGTGATGTTCTAGAATCATCTTCTTTCCCCTCCCACCCCACCAACCCGATGTGTCGATAGGAGGGTACGAACATTGAGTTACAATACCTATAGAGTCACAATCTCTAACTGACAATACTCAAAAAATGTCCGAGCGCCGTTCCATATACCTATATATTTTGATATTATATAGTTCAAAATGACATTTGCTCGAATTTAGACGTTAACCTGCTTGTATAATGTTCAAAGTCGCTCGTATGCAATGTCATCATCATTCACTCAAGGGCTTGCGTACGAGCAGGGAACAAGGCATCAGTGGAGACGCTATTTATACTAATATTATTAGGAGTTTATAATAATTGTGAAATATGAGTTTGTGAGTTTATATGTACCTAGGAGAACTAAACAACTGATTTCAAAAATTATTACACCAATTTCTTTTTAATTTACTTATCATATTAAAAAATCTTTATTTACGGCAATTATTTATTTTTAACTTACATCAAAAGACAATTCAATGCTATCTTCATTTTGTTTAATTGTTTGCTGATTGTTGTCGTGATCTAAGTTTACGTGAGTGTTGTCTTGATCTGAACTATCGTAACTTCTAAGTTGTTTTTTATTCAGCTGTAATAGAAATCATAGATCATACATTTATCTGCAAGACGTAAAATAAGCAATTTTTGAATAATGCACGCATTTTAAGAATACAAAATCGAAAGTTATAATAAAATATTACATTGTAAGCATTAAAAAGGAATAAGTTCTTACATGTAAAATGGGTTTTGCATTTTTGTTAAGCCTACTGAAACCTTTCGTTGTTGTATAAATGTCTGAAGCAGGAAAGTGATTAGAGCATACAACCGACCCTTTATATGGCTTGTAGTTTAATTCATTTCGGGCTTTTGCTATAATAACTGTCCATTCAGAGCATCTTATGGGGTTTCGAGGAAAACTAAAAACAAAAAAAAAAACATATTGTAATTATACTTTAAAATAATAAAACTCTTTCGACCTACATTTTGTACGGAAAACTAAAAAATAAAACATTTAACAACATTGTAATATTAGTACATTAAGTTTAAAATCTGTAAAAATATTTATTGTATCAATCCACTCCATAGAACCGTTAGAACATAATTTGCGAGTCACTCTCGTACGCGTGACTATTTGTTTCTCTTTTACTCTTGCATATTTGTCTAACGTGTGAAAGAGAAACGTTATCGCGGCGCCGCGCGGTCGGCGGTGAGTGTTTTAGTTTGCTAATAAAATGAAAATTATTGAAATTTAAATGAAAACATGCACTGTGGATACATAAATACGTAAATTTGGTATGATACTTACCTAAAATATGAAACACCATCCTTTTTTTCGCACGTGTCTGCTGTTATTTGGGCAGGAAATCACCGAACACTTTGGCATCGCGGACGTTGTACGAGGATTGTGGTCGCCTTACAACTAAACAAAAACTCTGCGCACTTCGCAGCGTGCGCCGAGTTTTGGCGCGGACATTTTATTTGTCTGTTTGTGACTCTATAGGTATTGTAACTCAATGGGTACGAATGATATCGTTTTGGAAAGGGATAACCGATTTGGCAGCCTACCGTCAAATAAAATAAATACGAATGGTTTTCCGCGCAACCACATACATAGTACCTACAGTAATGTTTGCATAACCTACAATAAAATACAAAAACATAATTATTTTACACTTTTTTCTGTTTTAGAAGTCGGTTATATTTTTTTCAAATTTTTTTTAATGTTACTATTTTTAGTTGAGAGTTAATACAATAAAAATAACAATAAGTTTAAGCGCTGTGTTCTTGTAAGTTGGAAGAGAGTCCATATTATCAAATTTCGTCTCGTGGGTGTCGTAAGAAACTACTTTGGAAAAAGTCAGACATATATCATTACTTAGTATAGACGGCAGTCTAGAATTGGACAGATCGTATCCGCCTGAGCATTTCATGATAAGTTGCCATTTTATGATTTGGCTTTGACTTATGTTAATATATTAAAATTATGAAAGCACGTATCTAGTAATATCGACGATAGCAGGTTACGGTGCGGCTGTGATGGCCCTTGGATCATCTCAATATGACACAATTGAGGGAGAGCGAGAGAGATAGGTAATTTATATGAAAATAATTATAATTTATATGATTATTTTTAAGCGGGTTTTAGCTAATTAATTTTTAACATATTTAAGATCTATTGTTATCGCGTAGTGCTTCAATAGCCAAACTAGAGCACCAAATGGGAACAATGCTGCTTGAAATGGTTATACCTACGAAAAATTGATTAAATAATCATCTCGTATTCTCCAAAACTGGAACGATTTTTTTATTAACAACAATATAGGTACATAGGAAGGATTGTGGCTATGTCTGTATGTAGCATATAACTGGGCAATTATATTTAGTTTTGAAACTTTCTAGTTTAAAAAATATTTACCAAAAAAATAACGAAGTTAAACGTAAAAAAAATTGCTCTAATATCACACACTGTCACTGAACACATTATTATAATATATGTCAAATCTATTACGGGAACAGTTATACTATAATTCTAACTAAAATTAAGCCAGTAACTAAACTAGAATTACCTGTGATAACTGTGTCTTCTAAATCCAATTCTTCATTGCCATCAACATTTGGTATTTCTTCTGGGATAATTCTTGGTTAAACTTGGTTTCATTAAACCGGGGAGGGTGTAGGTTCTTCTGGTGGTTTGATGTCCACTTTTACTAAGCTGGGCCATTCCTCTTTAATTGGTTGTTGGATGCTTAGCTGGGTAACAATCAATTTTTAAAATTTTATATTTTTATATGTAGTTGATGATACAAACAAAGAACAAGGTAATGGATTTTGTTACGCGGTTACCATATCTACCATTTGATATCGTAAAAGACGACATAGAGGGATTTGAAAATGGAGATGGGCAGCAGCATTTTCCTGATTACAGCATTAATAATAAAAGACAAACTGGTTTACAACATGGTTGCCTAGTGTGGCAACTATGGCAAACCTAAGCAGGACAGACTGAAAATTTTACGTAACTCATAAAAAAAACAACTTTTATGTCATCACCATCGTCACAGCCTATAAAAGTCCACAGCTGAACATAGGCCACCCCTATAGATTGCCTCATAGGGGGATTTTGCCATAGTTGACACGCTTGGCGAGCTGGCTGTCATAGGGAATTTATTATTATTTTGAGTTGTTAACAACAACTTGTTATGAGGAAGATGCTGCCGTCCATTACCTGTTTCAATTCCCTCTGTCGCCTCTTACGACAGCCACGGGACGATATGGGGCGGAGGATATTCTTTACACCACTACTACAAGGTTTAATTTATATGTAAACTAATATATTTACTGATGTTTAAGTATCTTATGTAATAAAAAAGCAATTGCAAAAATACGTGCGAAGCATTGCAACAATAGCAAATATCCAGCCTATGTATATATATTTTGATGCTTGGCGGTACACCACTGTACATTTCAAAAGGAGTTTTCTTCCACGTACAACCTCTCTGTGGAATAGTTTACCACCGGCGATTTTTCGGGACCGATACGACCTGGGGACCTTCAAGAAAAGAGCTTACTCCTTTCTAAAGAGCCGGCAACGCACCTGCAATTCCCCTGGTGTTGCGGTTGATCATGGGCAGTAGTCACTTAACATCAGGTGAGCCGCATGCTCGTTTGCTATTCTATAAAAAAAATATTCAGCAGTGGACTTCGGATAGGCCATGATGACAATGATAATAAAGGTGATGAAACATTATACAGGCTTTTAACCACGGCAACCATTATTCTAATTACATTTTTTGTTTATTATTCATTTATTACAGCCTATAAAAAATCCACTGCTCAAATCAAATTGCCTCTTAGAAGGTTATTTACCACAGTTGCTACGCTTAGCAAACAGTTTAAAAAAGTTTTATCAGGAGGATACTGCCCCAATCACAAGAAAAATAATCTAAAAAACGGTTGACCCTACAGGCCATGTCTAGAACTACCCTCTGTTTTTACGAACTAGTCAACTGATTACATCAAAAACGATCCAAGTAGAAATTTCGAAGTTATTAAAAAAAGACTATTTGAATTTTTTTGACAATGATAACTTTCGAAAGGATCAACCAATTTTGATGTAATTGGTAGCATCTGACGAGATATTTTAAGAATAATAAAATCTATTATAAATAAATGATGAGACTATAAATTCAAAAGTTATGTGAAAAAGACACGTTTTTCGAAATTTTTAGTCATTGATTTATTTCTCTTCAACGCATTAACCGATTTTAAAGCGGTTCGCAGAAAATGACGTTGTTTTCTATGCTTAAGATCTGATTAGATTTTGGAATTGGTCGTTACATCTGCTTAAAAGTTCGTAGGAATAATCAGAATAGCTTCCTAGGAACTCAAAACGTCGAGATTTGATGAAAACTCGACTTTCGAAAATGGGGGCAAAACCAATAACTTTTTCAATTTTTGAAAATCATTGATTTTCATAGCGGAAAGTTAAAAATTACTTTCATAAATCCTTATCCTCCACATAGTTGCTAATTTGTAAAGGAACGTTTTATAAACTTTAATAGTAATTGTTTATTATTATAATTTGAGTAGTTATTAGTAGTTGAATAACAATGCTGAGCCGTTCTTCAACACTGTAATTTTTACACTATTTAGTTTTTTTAGTACTAATAAACTACTACTAGTATAAACTTAATGCTGTTTTATATACCATGGTTTGACTTACCTGAGCTATATCCATACCAATGTTGTCAGTAATGTCATTGTAGGTGGGGTGATCAAACTTTGGCCTCTCAAGCTTTGTGAACTTAAGTTCTTTGCAAAGCAAGTCTCCATATACATGTAAAGTTTCCATTCAGACACCCCTGGAAATATGTTTGGCTTATGAAAGATAGAGTACAAGGTCTTACTTGAGTTACAATATCTGGAGTATCTGGGATACAAACCTTAATAAAAAAAATGATTAACTAATGCACTATAACTTTTTCTTTTACTCTACCTTTAACCCTAGAAGAGTTCTAAAGATGTGATGGTATTGTTGTTGAGTAGACAAAGCAAAATAATTTATCATCCCCTTTGAAATATTTTTACCAAATTAACTAGATTTTCTAAAATATTCTTTGATCTTTTTATAAAAAAAGAATTCAAAATATCTTAAAAAGAATAAGAGTGACAAATGAGCACACAGTCCACCTGCTGGTAAGTGGATGCTGTGGACCTTTGACATATATGATTACCCTCAATTAATAATCAAAAGGCTGATGCATTGTGCAGTGAGATACCCTGTTCCAATAAAAAGGGTCTTGGTTTCTCTAAACTCACCATAAGATACTCAGCAGCATTACGCTGCCATTTTACACTGGTGTTCTGTGGTCCTTCCCTGGTTGAGCTGACCCATTCATGCTACAACAATAATATAGCTGCAGCATGTTTCTATCACATATTAAAATTAATGATAATTGAATTATCAAGAACAAATATGAGCACCATGCTTAATCCAATAGCAAAATAAATAGAATAGATCAGCCTAAATATACATGTTATACTTTAAAGTAAAAACAACCATAACTTAAAACTAGCAGGCTGTACTTACATATTAGTCCTCAACAGATCTGAAGAGGAAATATCAGCACGACCCACAGCGCCGGCAGCGCAATTGTCAACTGTAGCAGCAGCAATAAGAGACCCACAGGAAAAGCATGGGAATTTTACTGGATCTCCTAATGTTACCCCCGGCGCATATAGTGGTGCACTCCCTGCAAGCTAATAAATGAAATGGTAGAGGTTGCAAGCGATTTAGACATCAGAAGGCAATAATTATTAAGAACATGAATATTTATAATAAATAAAATTTTATTACTAGTCTTTTTACTTTTTACTCATTTACTAATTCTTATTGGTTATAAAATATTGAATAAAACTAAATTTATTTATAAAATAGTTTATTAATTATTAAATTATTTTAATATGAATGTTTTAGAATATATGTAATCATTGTTATATCCAAATAATTTAATTTTTAATGCTCCTTAGCCCAGTAGCCTAGCAAAGACTTGCGGTGCTGAGGGCTGCGGGTTCATATCTCGCATGAAACAAGCATTTGTATGGCCTACAAATAATTATTCCAGGCCTTGGATGTTTGTCTTTGTGAAATTTATGTGTGTAAACTGCCTCCACAATACTGAAGAAAATTCTAGTGTAGGGGTTAAATTAAAATAGAAAAAACATCCTAAAATGAACATGGACAAGACAAAGGTTGTGTGTAACATCTATGTCATGCCTGTTCTGGTAGTTGTTAGGAGCACTACACTCGTAAGTTGTTGATTAGTAAACTTACCTAAGACATAGTGCAAGAAAGTTGTTTTTATGTAGAAGAGGAAGCAAATGAGCATGCGGATCACATGATGGCAAGTGTCACCAGCAGCCCATGAACAACTGCAACATCAGGGCAATTGCATGTGCATTGTCGGCATTTAAAAAATGAGTAAGCTTTATTTTTTAAGGTCCCAAATCAACTACACAAAAAGTAACTTATTGTTTGGTAATTAACAAGTTTTTGTACAGCCTATAAATAATTGGTTCTGATGTATGTGTGTGTGTGTGTGTTCCAACTGTGCAATTTATGTATGTAAACTGCCTCCAGCATACAAGAGAATCCTTTTATGAGGGTAGTATTTTATATCTTAAAATGCTTTGAAGAGGTTATTCCACAGATCCAACTTGGCTAAACAGCATTTGGGAAATTAAACTTTTTTCTCACCTTGTTTTTTTTAAGCCAGTGCTTGACCACGATCTTACCTGATGGTAAGTTGTGATGAAGACCAAGATAGTAAATCTCACTTTTTTATCATAGTAAAAGCTTATATACAATTGCATTGAAGATGCCTAGCCCAGTTTACATTTTGGCAAGGCTCGGTTTAAATGCATTATCAACAACAAAAGGGAGTGTGATCCATCAATTTATTGTACATTGGACACTTTTAAATACATGTTAATGGAACTGATTGTGCTAAGTAGTAAAAATACCTTAGGTAACACCGGAGAATGAATGATGAGGGTCGGTAGGAGGTCAGGCACTTTCCATAGAGCACATACAGTAGGCACCAAAACATCGCCTATTTTTATCATCACAGGTACACTATCAACAACGTATACGCCGACTGTTTCACACGAATGTAGAATTAATTTCATACAGCTGCTATTTGATTTTACTGGCACTAACTCTTTCACTTTCTCATCTGTAGCAGCAGGGAATTCATTTAAAGTACGCTGCGCTAAATGTTTTCTGTAAGAAAACAGTGAAAAAGCCAATAAGAATGAAACCTAAATTAAAATTATTGTGTACTTTTCCGAATTTTTAAGTGTGTTGTTAGATTTTAATTTGTATGCCTTGCCGAACATTATGGTTATTAATAAATTAATGACAGTTTAAGATTTAATATTCTTGATTACGGGAAGATTTTCCCATATTTTACACAATTTACGCGGCGTGATTTTGACAAGACGAAACCAACAGCCTCCTGTTTCCTGTATATTGGGTATGTTCCGAAATACAACGCAGTGTACTGTCCAATGAAAATGACGTATGATTTGACACTTTATTGTACTAGCGTGCCGCCGCCATATTGTGTCGGATATCTGGCCATAATAAAACAATTTTTAATTGTGTGTTTGCCGAATGAAGCATGCCAGAATTTGTTTCTATTTATTCAAATACAAAAAATTATAGAATAATTGATGGTATATCCATTAGGAGGATATAATGATTTTTGGAGCACAAAATGACAAAATAATCGCCAACACTTTTCCAAATGGCGCAAAAGTATGACGTCATATACTGTCCAATGTTTTGGAACGAATCACCGGTATAGCGTCGATTCATGACGTCATTTGCATTGGACAGTACACTGCGTTGTATTTCGGAACATACCCTTCATATACTTATTATACTCAATAGATAAATAAATATGTAGCAAGCTATTATACTCTTTGACAGCTGTCAACTGTCAAGTGTCGAGATTGGGGGTATGTTCCGAAATACAACACAGTACACTGTCAGTGCCAGAATTTGTTTTTATTTATTCGAATAAAAAAAAATTATAGAATAATTTCTAGTATCTTCATTAGGAATATATAATGATATTTGGAGCACAAAATGACAAAATAATCGCCAACACTTTTCCAATACGGCGTAAATGTATGACGTTATATACTGTCCTATTTTTTGGAACGAATCACCAGTATAGCGTCGATTCATGACGTCATTCGCATTCGACAGTGTACTGGGTTGTATTTCGCAACATACCCTATAACATGAATTGTCATTTGACAAAACCTTTCAGTTTAAAAACGAGTTTTACAATATTATAAAATATTTATTTAAATATATTATTGCTTATTATTTATAAAATAGGAGCGCAACATTCATCCACTAAAATATCATTGCACAGTGTGTTCCCTGTAACTTGTAAAACTATGCATTGAACATCTCTGAAACTTATATAGCAAATACATTAAGCAATATTCACCACAAACTGAAGTCCACTCATTCTGAATCCTAAGGTTTCTAATCCTAAAGGTTAGCTGGCAGAGAATGCCTTTTCGGCATTAAGTTCGCCTTTGTACCAAATTGTTTTGTTTGAGTGCAATAAAGAATTTTCTATCTATCTATCTGAATCCTATCAACATTCCAGTCCCATCTTTTACAATTCCTTTTTAAAAACTCTAGATGGTATCGTGCAGGTGGTCGTCCATATGAATCAAAATATTGACCGATGCCATTCGTATCAATATGTAAAGCTACCCAATGTGAGCCTGGTTTATCATCAGTATCCAAATTGCATATTATATACGTTGGTACGTGCATATTATATATGGGCAGTCTATTAGCAGTATAAACATTATTTTCTAGACTGGGATGAATTTTTTTCAGATGTTGTTGTACATCTAGTGTATCCATGATATTACTGCTATTAGTTTTTTACTTTAGCAATCTATCCAGTGGTTAACATACGAATGATCAATTATAGTGACTTGTAAATATTAAATTCTTTTGTGATAATTTTAGGAGTCATCGGCGTAGCATAACTCATAACACGAAAGAATACGAGATAAGCTTATGAGTTAAGATTAAGCTTGTTGACTCATTAAGTTACTATCAGTTTCACTGCGGAAACTCGAAGAGTGTTTTGTATAAGTTTAAATGGGGGTTTATAAAGAAATAAAAAATAATATATCGCATACAATTTGTTTTATTTAATTTTATAATGTTTCACATAGTTACATACACACAAAATGCATTACGCATAACACATAAATCTAACACACAAAACATATTATAACCTTAACTACTATAGTCTACAGTAACATTTCTGTTTTTATCTATTTCAATAGTATTATCAAACTCAGCATAAACTATACAGTTAATTGTTTGTATTAGTGAGGATTCAAATCGTACCTACTTCTTACGACTTAAAGTTGTTCAAAACGACTATAAATCAATAGCACGCTACAGACTATAAACTATAAATTTCTAGCGCGCTATTAAATACGCTATGTTATAGCGCGCTATTTATAAGAAAGCGTGTAGGAGGCCGGTAAGCGCGTTAAGTTTTACAGCACGTTATATCTCTTAGCACGTTACATTACATGTCGTTCATTGGATAGATCGCGTGCTATATAAGAACATTATTTTGTAATAAGTCGCATTTTAGACTAAAATAAAATAAAGCGGTAAAGAAAAACCAATGCACGCGTTTTCATACTTTTCAGGCTTACTAATTTTTATAATCCTAAAAATATTTTAAGTTATGTACTATTTAATTTAATAGAATTTATGTTATTTTTAGAATCGAAATAAAATTAATTATTTTTTTTATAATTGATATAAACATTATTTTAAGCTTAGTATAAATTATAAATCAAATAAAGGTGTATTTAAAAGTTTATTTATTGTATTTATAAAAATCAATTATTTACATACACTATTATATACACTTTTGTACCTGTATTTTATTTACATTTAAAAACATTAGTTAGGCTTCTTTTATCACAACTGTGTCCTTTGATCATTTATAAATATACAGTATACACTAACTAAACAACGTCTAACATTAAATTAGGTCGCGCGCGACGAATAGTGCGCTACGAGATCAAATTTTCGTCACACGTCCTCTCCCAACAGCGCTGCTGCTAGAACCACAGGCTAGAACTAATTGCCGCTTGATATTAATACTTGATAGCGCCAGCGCCATGGCAACTACTTACATAATACGCGCTATGTGCTATGAAGAGATAGCGCGCTATAATATGGTGCTATGCGCTGTATTAACCACCATTACTTCTAATCTTATACTACTGTTACGAGCTTCGGGTTCGTAACAATAAAAACTGCCGATTGAATTACCAAAATTGACACTTTAATTACTGAACACCAATTGAAACTTAAATCACACTAATAATTAATCACACTTAACACTATAGTTTACTTTAATTCACTCCGAAAGCTTCGCTCGTATCGCCAATTCAATACTGCCTAGGTCAATTCAAACGGCCTTAAATAGGCGTTTTTCACCGGAACATCCAGAATGTTACAGCAAATACTGATCCCGACCGACTAAGTGCAGAAAGATCGAGTGTGGGGATTTCTAGAAAGCTTAGTTCTTCCATTCAATACTAGATGGCGCTGTTGGTGGAAAGTTCAGGAATGACATTTTCTAGAAAGCCTTCCTCGCTCTGTTCCTCGACACTAGATGGCGCTAGTGCCAGGTACCAGACATCAACTTAGGCGCGCAACACTACCATGCTTTATGAGATTCCAATGAGATGATAAGTTTGCTGATAAATCAGGAGTTATGTTAAATGCTAATATACAGTATCTAACCTTTGGCATACTGTTCACTAGATATTCCATTTACTTCATTAAGAAAGTGAATACCAGTTACCGAGAATAGAGTATGATATGCTGATGTAAATATACTATTATTAAAGAATAGTAATTGCAAAGCTTTTGAAGGTATTTCATCAATATATAAGCTGAAAGAATTAATACCATAGTTTTCAAAGTTAAATGGATTTTTAGTAAGGGAACTATTAAGTGCAGAATAGTTCACAAATCCAATTATACATCTTTTGGATACCTGTCCTAAGAATATATTACGAAGAGTTTTTCCTTCAATACCCGATGGAATTGTTAAAACTTTTACTTCAGCTCGAGTAATAGGATATTTAGCAGTGCTAGAAGCTAAAACTTTTTGATGTGCGAGTAGAAATCCAAGTGTATGAATTAATTCGTGCTCGTCAGACAATAAGAGTTTCGTCCGTAATGCAAATTTTAAACTTTACATCGTTTGATCCAGCAATTAAATTGAAACTCTCTTGATCTAACTAATTTTACACTAATTTCAACACTATTAATTAAAATTTTATCTTGGTTGAAAATGACACCGTGAAGATGTCTAATCATTTCTATTTCCTTACTTTCACTAACCAATTCCTGTCTTTTAACAAATCCTATGTTTTTACCATCCGTAGAATCCATTCTTCCTGCTGTATCCTCATACCAATAACTACAAGTAAGATGAGATTGTTTAGCAGCAGAAGCATAATTCACGTTAATGCCTAAAGAAGATTAAACCATCAACAGTGCACTACAAAAAACATTCCAGCTACCAACTATGATAACTTTGAGCATATTTTAAGAGTGTTAAATGGTATCGGAAAGAACTTGAATTTTCTTGAATTTGAAAACCTGAAATTTCGCTATGATGAAATAACAAAATTTGTGTCTGTTTCTGTTTTGGATAAAAATATATCATCCGTAACATTATCACCCAAATTAAGTTTACAACTAGGTTATTAACCAAACAAAAATCTCCTAGAGAGAAATTTTGGAAAGTGTCCTGCTAATTTACACTTAGGGTTACCATCTAAACTTTTTTCTTCTTCTTTTTTCCTTTTTTTTAAAACGTTACCTCCACACTAGGATTTTCTCCTGTATCGTGGGGGCAGTTTACAAACACAAATTTCACAAGGACAAACACCCGGAACAATTACTTGTAGGCCATACAAATACTTGTTCCGTGCGGGATTCGAACCCCCGGCTCTTAGCGCTGTAACTCATAGCTAAGCCACTGCGTCACGGAGCCATATACTAAAATATCGATATATCAGCTGTATTTAAAAAAAAAAACAACAGTAAGTCATTTTAGTTTATTCATTTATTATATTTATTAAGCAAATTATATTATAAATGTATGAAAATGTCAGATTATAGTTCCTATTAATTATTGTTTAATTTAATTATGAGTGCCAATATTTTTCCGTAAGAGTTTTCAAAAACACTCGTTGTTTTATATGTTCTGCTGCTAAATATGTTTAGAAGCACAGGTGCTACAGATGTAGCCGAAGAAATCAAATATTTAACAGCTATTTAGATAGAACGGGAGTAAATTGTCTACCCAGCAGACAGTCGATGACGACAGTAACTCAAGTTCATAAGACGCCTAACCGATCAAAATAACTTGAGGTTTATATTAACATCGAAGCACTTGTTTCGTCGTTTTCTCTAATAGTTTACACGCACAGACACTTAAATCATAAAATCGCATCACTTTTACGAATCAAAATACAATTCAAACCATTGTATAAGCGATAAAACAGAAGCAAAAATCCGTCGATGGTCAAGTTCCCGCCAAAATACACAGTTAGTAAAGTAGTTCTAAGTTTCGTAGATTATAGGAATTTTAATACCACAGAGATATACTATACCAAATTACATTTCATCTTAAGATAGTAAGCAAATAAATAAACTGGGGCAAAATTAATAGAATAAAATAAAGTACAGAAGATTGGGTAGTAGTAGATAAAATGATTTACGGGACAAAATAAAAAATTTAAACTTTTTATGAACGCATAACGATGGATATACTTGAACGCTCCACGTCATTAAAGTTCAATGTCATTGAACGGCGTTATAGTTGGCGTTAATGTTCTTTGAAGACTTTTTATATTTGTTAAAAATAGTTCTATAAAAACCGATTCGGTTTTCCTTCGCCTTTTTAATTCTTCGATAGTTATATTAAAACATAATAATTGGATAATTCGTCGCAAAGCATCATTTTGCGCTGTACAATTCTTAAAACTTTTGAGTCTCGGATCCATTGATTTATATGTTACACTAGATAAGTAATTTCCGCGCCAAAGCGTTGTCACTTCACATAAGGCCACAGCCTTATACTCAGCGAACGTCGGTTCAGTGTTCAAAGGTGACGCCGTCCGAGTTAAGCCGAACGATTCACAACAAAAAATGGGTAAATGCGTAGTGA